GGAAATGGACAGCTGTGTAAACCTGCTGGGAACCTGGTCTTCTATGCAAGGAGAGAGCACCTCTCATTCAGCTAAGTGCCCCCACCTGGGCACCCTGCACGTCCTCTGTAACCGGCTCTGTCCAGGAGAAGGTGGACGCAAGGGGAATATTTGAGCGTTGCCTCTGGAAACATATTTGCAGCCCTGCTTGGCTAGAAGGGGCCTACTCATGTAGAGTGAGGTGAGGTGGACCCGCCCCTCTGGTCCCATCCACTTCCTTACCTGACAAGTGAGCTGGCATGAGGCAGGAAAAATTCACATGAGACCCAGTCTAGGGGGCCCCGGACTTGAGCTCTAGGAGAACTTCCTCTGGAGAGCATTGAGGGGAGGTGAGTGGACTCCCAACTCCCTTACAACAGGGGAGCCCGGGCTGTGTGTCCTGGGGAGAGGGGTGTGCCCAACCGCACCCCACACCTGCTGTCCGAGTGCTCTGTCGGGTGCTGATGGGGCACCTCCATGCTTCCAGAGCGGGCACAGAGGACGTGACAGGGACAGAGAGGGGGTGAATATTTCCTGATGTTTTTTGTACACCGGTTACTTCCTCAGAAAGTTGTTGTGCCCTGGTTTCCTTATTCTGAGTATTGTGAACATGGAAAAGGAGTTCCCAGGAGGACTGTCACATTAATGCAGGATTCCAGAAGAAACTCAGGCTAGTGAAACATGGTCTTCTTGAGCCAGTGTCCTGGTCATCCACGGTAATCTTTCTTCTTCTCTAACACCCTTTGCCACCAGGGAGATAGACAGCTGCAAGCCAGGGGTGGAGAGTCTGTGGAAGGACTGAAGAGGCTGCCTTTGCCTTCAAGCAGCAAGCACATAGATAACAAGCACCACCGGGTGCCAGGCACCAGGGGCTTAGGAATAAATGTGGCAGCACCATCCAGGCCCTCCTGAAACTTCTAGCTGTTAGGTTCCATCAGAAGTTGCCTCTGTGTCTCTCCTTGTCTGCAATGGTCAGGTTGGTCTGAATCTCTGTGGGAAATTGACAAAAGTGAAAATAATCTTGTCGCATTCATCTAACATGCCCAGTTTTCATGTGTGGTCATGTTTGATGTAAAACAGCAGTGGACAGGGCTGGATATGAAATTTCCAAGTGTGTTGTAGAGGAGGCACTAGAGAGCAAAAGCGCATCCCGGGCAACCATTCCTTCATTGTGTCTAAGTGTGTGAGGGCCAGTCTGATCTAGGATGGAGGAGACAGCGAGTGCTTTATCTTCCTGAAGTCACACCAGAGCAGGGAACCTCAGGAGGGGCCTCCAGCTCAGACATCATGGTCACTGCCCCATCCTCGAAATCCAAGGTCTCGGGGGCCACAGAGACCATCAGTTCCAGGCCAGTAGGCCACCCTGTGGTGACAGACTTCTGGCCTGGGTCCCTGCACCTGGCCGGCCCAGTGCCACTCCCCACTCCCTGGTCTGGACGCCAGTCTGACCTGCTGCCTTGGGATCAGCTTCAGCCATGGTTGTGATACACATCTCCCCAATGAAACACACCCACACCCCATTATAGAGCCATTTTCATATGGCAGGAAGATCTCCCCTTTGACTCTCGTGACCCTTATACGTGCCTTCTTATGTGCTGTCACCCACAAAGTCATCTGTAGCAGAATATCTCAAAGATCTTGGCCACATTCAAAGTGAGGTGAGAACAGTTGACTTCACAGTTTGTTTGAGTGCTGAGAAGTGTTGTGAGGCAAATACAGCAGGAAGAGGCTCAGGAGCGACAATGCTGGGGCCAGTGCCCTCCCTTGTGGAAGACACCCCCCACAAGAATAAAACATGGAGACAGTCAGCGACGTCTGTGAGTTAAGAAATACAGGTGGTGAGACAACGCTTGACCTCCAGGGTGAAAAGCTCTGCGCTTGCACAGAGCGATGCTGAGAGGCAAGGGCATTTAGCTCTCGCAGTCTCCTAGGAAGCCTGAAGACTGGGAAGCCTCAGTGAGCAAGAAGGCCGGAGGGCTAGAGCGGGTGGGTGAGGAGAGCAGGGCAGGGCCTGGGGAGCATGAAGAGCAGTCCTGCCTGGCTGTGACCCCACCTGGCCTCAGGTCCCTCAGCTTCCTCTGCGACTTGGAGAGGACAGAAATACTGTTTATTGAGAAACAGAACTGGGGTGTCTCTGGGCTGTGAGGGGTGTCAGTGGTGGCTGTAACACTGAGAAGGGAATTCAAGCCAAGGATCAACAACCCAGTTGCCCTGCTCAGCGCTTGGGGAAGAGGGAGCCAATTGCACAAGGACACACGTGGTCAGCCACCCCTCCCCACACGCCTCACCCCTCTCGCTCCCTCCATCAGGTCCTCACCCAGTGGCTTTTCTATTTCCCTTCGTGATCATTTTCAACAATTTGTAGAATTACAAAAATATAAGCAGCCACATAAGCCCACACAAAATTATGTGTACACATGTATACCTGTGCAATACAGACAATCTCTATAATGAATACACACCCCGTGTCCATGTATATGTAAGTGGGAGCACCGAGGGTAGGTACAGACACATGGCGGCAAACAGAGGTCTTGACATGTAGCTCACTGAGGGAAGTTGTGATGCTTCACGAGGGCTTGAGAGCCTCTGCCACAGCCCAGGCCTCGTTAGTGAGCGAGAATGAGGCCCAGAATGAGAATGGAGCCACCTACCTGCACGGGAGCATGGGCCCAACCCCAGGGAAGGTCTGTTCCAACTGGAGAGAACAGCTCACAGCTCTCTCATGCCCACACCCACAAGAACTCAGTCCCCCGAAGATGTGTTTGTGCCTTGGTAGCAATGATTCCCTGAGAGACAGCAGCAGAGGGAATGAACAGCCATTCTGAGAGAACTTCAACTGTGAAAACACTCTCTGCAGCTCACAGAATCTGCCAACTGTGGCTTCTACCACTTCTTAATGTGTATAGAGGAAAGTCTACAGCTTGGCAGTCTGTGTCCTGTGTGTGTGTGTGTGTGTGTGTGTGTGTGCGCGCGTGTGTGTGTGTGTAACCTCCGGCTCATCACTTAAGATCTCTGACTCTTTTTCACTTTTAAATGTGATTAACGATGCCCCTGCAGAAGGTGCGAAATTCAGTAAGATACTAGAAATAAAGATTATATAGAATTGGAGTAGTAAGGTGAGGGTCACTAGGAATGCCTTTGTCCCCCTCATTGCTGACTCTCCCTAGACTGCATATGGTTAAAAACAGCTAACAAATAACAACCCCAAAATTTTGCAGGCAGCCTGGATGCCCACCATGTCCCAGAGCACCCTACACATGCATCAGGTGGGGCTCACTCACCTGGGACGCCTCTGTGCTGGGCCACTGAACAGAGGCCAGGGCGCCTTCCTGGGACAGACCTTTCATGTGGCCTGTTACCCTCTCTGGGCTCACAGACACAGGCTTACTGCCTGCTGCTGTGGTGAGGCAAAGATGGGATTTCTGGGGAAAGGGACCAGCCAGTGCTGACCCCACAGATTCTGCCCCATAATTCCCTACTGGTACTTACAGGTACTGAAGGGGAGAAACAGGAAATTCTCAAAAAATAGTTGGAGAGCTCATCAACACACTTTAAATAGTGTGTAGAACCTTTAGGCAGAAAATTAATACAGAAACCAGGAGTTTGAGCACACTATAAACCAACTGGGCCAGACAAATATATGGCACATTCCCGTCCCAATAATATACACATCTCTCCAGTGCATGTTCTTTCAACAAGTATTCTCCAGGGAAAACCATATGTTGGTAAGGTCATAAAACATCTTTGAGTGAGTTTTAAATGCTTGAAAATCTTCACTCATTTCAATCTCTCACAGACCAACTGTTACATAAGCACCGAGTTGTAGATCCTGGGTCACATAAGATGCAGAGAGAAATTGCCTTTGATCTCACAAACCCAACAACAGAAGTCTCCTCTGGATTCTTAAAAATTTATGTCAATGGCACTACAATATTTCTTTCCTGATTTTTAAAATTTTACTTGCAATTAATTTTTACTTGTTGGGAAATTTTAAAAACCAAACATGATGAAGGGCCTTGATTTCTCCTCGTTCTCAATAAAACTCTTTAGTGTCCTGAGGTGTGTTCCAGCATCTCTCATGCATGTTGTGCCTTGACTGTCCTGTTCTGGGTGAGCCACATCCGGGAACCCTGCCCTGTGTGCTGTGCTGTGTCTGGCTTCCTTCACTAGCTGAACGACATTGAGGTTTACCCAGGGTCAGAGAACACCAACAGGTCTCTCATGCCCAGCATGCTGCCAACCTCACAGGGTACCGGGAACTGAGGAATCTAACATCCTATGAAGAAGCGTCTTCTGCCAGTCTTAGTCATAGGGTTGTGTGGGTCCCACCAAGTGCTCCCCCAGTAGGGAAGACCAGGGCCTGTCAGCTCATGGCCTCAACTTCTAGTGCCACCAGTCAATAAGTACCAAGGTCCTGTCTCTGTAAATGCAAAAGCCAGAGAGATGGGCTCACTGTGCGCATTTGTAATTTTGAAGGGATGTTCAATAACCCTTGGGAGGGAGCCGACGAGGGAGGGCTGCTGTCTGGACCGAGCACCTGCTACTGTCCTGACCCCACAGCCCTCATGCCCACGCCTGCGACTGGCCAGAGCACAGCCTGGGGCCCGATCCTCTGCTGAGAAATGATCCTGTGGGCTCAGCAGCATGGCGATGAAGGCGCCGGGTTCTGTCCCTGGGGCTTCAGTTGTGCGGTTTTGACATCTCTACCGGTCACATCCTGCGCTCCCCACCCTTTGGTGGTTTCCTGTGTGGGCTGGAACAAGTGGTCTTTTCTGAGTCATCAGCTGTGGCTACTGATGTGGCCAGTGTGGATCCTCATACTTACCAGGGATTGTCATGAGCACCGGGTGGGGGCGGGGCAGCCTTCATAGAAAGCCTGGTCGGATGACGCTGCAAACCAGAAAGGCGCCCCAGCTCACGAGCCATCGCACCTCCATCCTCTCTGTCGAAGGACGCCCCAGCCGCTCCACCTGGGCAGCGAGATGCAGCCGCTCCTGCTCCCACTGCTGCTGGCCTGTTTGCTGCCACCCAGAACAGAGGCAGGTGAGTGACCAGCCAGACTCATAGGCCACGGGTCCCCTGCCCCTTCTGCCTATGGGGATCCCCCTGGCAGGACGTTCTGAGCCCCAGCTCCTGTCCCACCTAGACCCCAGGATGGTGTGGACAAGCTGCCAGCAGGGCCAGCAGGCCCAAGGCCCAGGGAGTTGTCCCCCGCCCCACTCCCTCCCCCTGCCCCAGCCAGCCCTGCCTCTGCTGTCTGGAGAGTGTGGCCTCCCTGGAAGTGCCTGCAGAGGGGGAACCTGACCAGGAGAAAACACTAACTCCCCTGCCAAGGGCAGGCTGGGCCTGCCGGGTGGGGGCGAGACAGGGGCTCCCTCCGCATCCCCCAGGAGAGAGGACACAGGACCTGCTGACCACACTGTGCCCAGAAGACACTGCTTTGCCTTTGCTCAGCCCAGGGCCCTCACCCCTCTCTCCAACACTGCTGTCTCCCCAGCTCTTTAGTAGCTCCCCTGTTTTCAAGGCTGAGCCACTGCTAGGCAGGCCCAAGCTTGCCTGGTCTCCAGAGTCCCCAGCACTAGCCCCTGCAGCCCTCATCAGCCCATGGAGTCCTCACTTCATGCCGCCACCAGCACGGGCAGTGGCAGGTGTCAGGCCCAGGGCCCAGGCTACAACACCCAGATCCTGAGGCTGAGCTTGGGCTCTAGAAAGCAGCACTGTCTGGAAGGGCACAGACTCACAAGGCCTCGCCACTAGGGGACAGCAAGCCAGGACAGGAATTTTCCAGAGGCTCTAGCACTCTCTGTCCCACACAGGTGTGCTCACCCCAGCATGGGCGGGAGGCGGAGCCAAGGCTGGCAGCTGGCTCCCCCCTGCAGAGGGGAAGTGGAGCCTTGGGTCTCCCCCTCCTGGCTCAGGCTGTCCAGACCCCCCAACCCCCCCCAGGCTGAGCCATCGGGGTGGGGCTGTGAGTGGTGCTCGAGCAGACCAGATATTTCTTCAGGAGAGATCATCGGGGGACATGAGGCCATTCCCCACTCCAGACCCTACATGGCATTTCTACGGATATCGGTTCAGAACTCTGAGAGCTGGTTTGGTGAGAAATTGCCATTTAAGACCAATAAGTGTGGAGGTTTCCTGGTCCGAGAGGACTTCGTGCTGACAGCCGCTCACTGTAACGGGAGGTGAGGAGCAGCGGGGCCCACCCTCCTGAGAGCCCTACCTCTCCCTGAGGCCCCCAGCTCCTAGGAGTGCATGTGCCAGAAGTGTCCCCAGAGGTGAGACAGGCACAGGCAGCTGAGGCGAGGGGCAGGGCAGCGCAGTGGTGGCTGCAGGGAAGAGAGAGCTCAGCCCTGTGGCTTCAATGCTGCCCTGCTTTGCATCAGATGCAGGCTACTGGATACCCGTGTCCCTGGTCACCGTCCCTGGGGTCCATGGCGCACTCACCAAGGGCTCTAGAGTCAGAGGGCGCAGAGGGCTGAGTCCTGAGGCTTCTGTTGCCTTGATTCCCCCTCAGCTGCAGCCCTCCTCCCTGCCTGACTGTGTCTATGTGACCTCTCCCTCTGCTCTGTGTGCAGGGCAATCACGGTCATCCTCGGGGCCCACGACATCTCCAAGAAGGAGAGGACCCAGCAGGTCATCCCTGTGAAGAGAGCCATCCCCCACCCAGACTACAATAATAAGACCTTCGCCAATGACATCATGTTGCTGCAGGTGCGATAATCCCCTGCTGCTCCTGTCTCGGGGTACTCATGGCTTCCCCTCCTCCTATCCTGGCTCTCTGACCAGTCCCAGTGGCTCATGGGAGAGAAAGACAGCACCACCCCATGAATGTGTCCAGGCACAGAGGTCACTAGATGATCTGGCCTTTGCCCTTCCCCTTTAGCTGCAGAGGAAGGCCAAGAAAAACCCAGCTGTGAAGCCCCTCAGTCTGCCCAGGCGCAGCGACCAGCTGAAGCCAGGGCAGGTGTGCAGTGTGGCCGGCTGGGGGAAAAACCAGCAGAGGATATTGCCAGACACGCTGCAGGAGGTCAATCTAACCATCCAGGCAGATGAAACGTGCAAGCAACTTTATTCAAAATATGAAATCACCAGTCAGCTGTGTGCTGGGGACCCAAAGAAAAATAGGGCTTCCTTTCAGGTAAGACAGAGCCTAGCTTTTTGGGGGGAGAAGGCTGTTTGGGGAAGATTCTGAGCATAAAGGCCCAAGCATTGGGGAACTCCTCCACCCTCTAGGCACTAATCTTTCTTCCTGGGAAAAGAAGGAGTAACACCAGCCTGGGGAGCATCTAGGGGCTTCTGTGAGTCTCTTGGGGCCTGAAGTGAATGCAAACATGGTGACCCTCCCAGGGTCCTGGAGGATGGATTTGCAGCACCTGCCCTCTCAGGCCAGAAGGTCAAAGGCAGTGCTCCCTGGTATCCACCTTGCTAGTGGTTAAAACCACCTTGTTCCCCAGAGCCGAGACCACTGGGTGAGTGGGCTTTCCCTCCAAATGAGTGTCAGCCCTCGCTGCCTGCGACCTCAGCAGACAGGGACACACACCTCAGCAACTTTGTGGGCTGTGGGTCCAGGACCCGCAGGAGGGAGCCCCCACCTGGTGAAGTGAAGCGGTGACCATGTTCAGGGTGGGCGCGTGGCAGTGAGGAACCCACAGGGGTGCTCCCCGCCACCTCCTCATGGAGGCCTCTTCTCCGAGAGAGGCTTGGGATGCAGAAGGACAAGACAAGAACAACTGGCTCATTCCTCACCCTCTATCTACAGGGGGACTCTGGGGGGCCCTTGGTGTGTAAGAAGAAGGCAATGGGCATCGTCGCCTATGGCTTTAGTAATGGGAAACCGCCACGTGTCTACACCAAAGTCTCAAAATTCCTGCCCTGGATAAAGGAAACCATGAGGAGCCTGAATCTGTAGGCACCAGCCTCATCTCACGCTGTTCCAGAATCGCCTACAGCTGAATAAACATCTCTGAGCTGAGCAGGCACTGCTGGTTTATTTATTCACCCTCACTCACAGGCACAACTCTGCTCAGAAAGCAGTGTCACAATTACCTGTTCTCTGCTCCCTCAGCCACCTCCCACCTCTGCCTAGCCCCATGAAAAACTGCCACCCAGCTCTTACATACCTCTGCCTCTCCAGCATCTGCCCTCTGCACAGCACCTTAAAGTTGCTCACAGCCACTACAGCATGAGTTCGATCCCCAGCCAGGGCGTGACTCACACGGCGCGGCAGACCTCTCCTGTCCCAACCACAGCTCCCCCTCAGCAGTCTATTTCAGTCCATCTGCCTGTTCTGCTCGCCACTCTGCCTCTGATGAATCCTCTCACCCCCTACCTCTGGCCTACACCCCATTTCTTGTATGCCTACATAACTAAAAATAAGTCTTTAAAAATAAAAAAAAGGGGGGCTCCTCTCTGCACAACTCTGTCCACCAATCAGTGAGCAAATACACATTGAGCACCTACTGAGTGCCAGGCTCTGGGGACACGTAGTGACCATGAACAGGCGCTATCAGTTGAAAGTGCTGAGACTTTCATCCAGAACTTCTGCCCCTCTTGCTCTGTTGACAGCCCCTTCCGGGTTTTGCCACTCCTCTTAATACCGAAGAGGTAGAGACTCTGCATTCTTTTTTAAATATATCTTACTGTGAACCATCAGGTCATTTGCCTGCTCACCTGTTGGATTCTGGGTCTTGTTCTTCTAGATTTCTAGAATTCTCTATATTATATTTAGATTGATTCTTTAATTGTGCTATGACACACTTTTAAAGTTTACTTTTTTAAGAAAAATGCCAGATGGTTTCACGAAAATCAACAAACAACTATAAACCAGAGGCATTCTACGGAGGTGGGGGGGGGGAATAGGATCAATATTGGGGTGGGATCAGCACGCTGGACTATGGTGATGGCACAGGGGTGAATTGGTGGAGGAAAGTTCACAGGGATTACAACTGAGATGAATAAATGCACAAAATGAAAATGATGTAAAATATATATATATATATATATATATTTTTTAAAGATTTATTTATTCGTACAGAACTGGGGTACAGGCCAGAGATGTGGAGGGTGAGAGGATTCACCAGAGGCAGAACGGGGAGCAGAACAGACAGATCGATGAAGTACACTGCTGAGGGGAGCAGCGGGCTGGTCAGGAGAGGTCTGCCACACCATGTGGTCACCTCCGGGGCAGGCGGGAATCGAACTCATGCGGAAGTGGCTTTAGCTTCTAAGTGCTGTGCTTTAACCCGCTGCGCCACCAGGGAGGGCCAATATATATATTTTTAATAATAGTTTACTTTTTAAATAATCAAAATTCATTGATCAGTTTTTTCTTTTATTTAGCATCTTTGCTACAAGGACTCTCCCCACTCTGTTTAGGAAGGCACTTCCCAGCATGTATTTCTAGTACTTGCGGGATTTTACTTTGCATGTTAGTCTCTTATCTACTTGGAATTTATTCTGGTGGCTTATGTGAAATACAACTCCAATTTAATCTCTTAACAAATGATTATGTCATTGTTCCAGTTATTCCACTAAAGTCCATCTTTTCCCTAAATGACCTGAAATCCATCTTATTATAAACGGTATTTCATATACATTTGGGGGTTTATGGATTTTTCTGTTCAGTTTCAGTGTTTTTTCTCTCTCTAGTCATGAGTCAGCAACACTTTTTTTCTTTCTTTTTTTTTAAGATTTATTTGTGCATACAGAACGGGGGTACAGAGGTGCAAGAGCAGTGAGAGAATTCATAAGAGACAGAGTGGGCAGGTTGACTGAAATACACTGAGGGGTGCAGTAGGTGGGTCAGAAGAGGTCTGCAGCACCATGTGGATCACCTCCCCAGGGCAGAATTGAACTCGTGCTGAAGCAGCCAGCCGCGGCTAGCTTTGTAGTGCTGTACTTTAACCAGTTGTGCCACCAGGGAGAGCCCAGCAACACTATTTTCAAAAAGAAGTTTTCTCAGGTATTTTTAAGATTTGATTAGGCTAATCTTCTCTTAGTATTCATTTATGTTCCATAATTTTCTTAATTGTTCTTCCATGTTTATTTTTTATTTTTTTAAAGATTTATTTATTTGTGCATACAGAACTGGGGTACAGGCCAGAGGCTCAGGGGCGGCGAGAAGCTTCACCAGAGACAGAGTGGGGAGCAGAACAGGCAGATCGACGAAGTACACTGCTGAGGGGAGCAGCGGCCGGTCAGGAGAGGTCTGCCGCGTCATGTGGTCACCTCCTGGGCAGGTGGCAATCGAACTCATGCGGAAGTGGTTTCAGCTTCTTAATGCAGTGCTTTAACCCGCTGCACCACCAGGGAGGGCCCTCTTCCATGTTTATTTTAACTTGAATTTAAGAAACTGCCTAGAACATACATGATGCTTGGAGGGGGGAAAAAAGTGTTTTTCTTATTGGAATGATATTGAATTTATGTATTAAATATCATATTGGGGAAAATCGGTACCATTTTGGTGTGGATCCAGCTTTCCAAAAAGCTAAGAACATCTTTTTTATTTCTCAAGTCTGTTTGTGTGGCTTTAGGAGATACTTTTAAAGTTTTCCACATTTTTCCTAAGTACCTTGTCTTTTTTGTCAATTCTTCTAAGAGAATGGGGATCAAGGTATTTCAAACCAACAATATTTTCAATTCCACGACTCTCTCCTCTTTTTCAAGTATGGGGAGATGGATCCTTGGAATAATTTGTTTAGCAAATTACTACAATGATCTCAGAAATACAGTGCAACAGCATGAGAATACTGCCTCGGCCTCTATCATGCATCCCCATGTCGTGTGGCATGGATTTTGTATCAATGCCATCTTACTGATGATCACTGCCCTACCTTGGAAGACAGCCAGTCTCCCATTGTTTCTTTCTTTTGTGTCATTAACCTGTACTTGTGATATATACACAACTCTATCCATCTCAGTAGAACAAAGGCACGTAGCGTGTCCTCCTGCACTACGTCATTAGACTTAAGCAAGAATAACCACATGACCTAAGCAGGCTATAGAAGCCCCTTGTCAAGGTGGGGCTGATGTGGATCCTGCCTCGAACAGAAGTCCTGTCCCTTGGCTCCAGCACTGAGGATCTCTGTATGTAAGTTGACTTCAATGAATGTTAAGTGTGATTAATAGAAATGCCTGCTTCATTCTTCAGATTCAGGTTATCAGTGTGGAGAAACGTACAGCCAGCCACACAACTGGCAAGCCAGTCAGGAGTCTGAGGAGAAGCACATGCAAGACAGAACAAAGCAGGACAGGGAGGTGGTGGTGGTAGAGCTGGGAGTATGGGTGGCCAAGCTCTGTTGTGGGGGGATCCCAGGTGGTCTCTCACCTCTACTTGGGGGAAAGGTAGCTGATATTATAGAGCAGTTTGGACCCATGTGTGATTGTGAGGAAGCTCCAAAGACCCCAGCCAGACTGCTAGAAGCACTCCATGGTAATGTGGGGGGAAGACGCAGCCACAGCATGGCCTGTGCTCTGTGTGTGCCTGAGAGATGCCACAGAAGCTGAGCCAGCGCAAAGGCAGAGCTCCTAACTGTAGGATGACCGGACAAGGAGAGCCAACATTAGAGCCGTTGTTGCAAGGGAAAGACTCCAGAACTTAACATCCCTGAGAGAGAGTGAGGATGACAAATCTGTGGTAAATACTACAGTGCCCACTACTGTCTCTAGGCTGAGTCTCAGCAACACTGGGCTTCTAGAGTACTGTCGTGGGTTTGTCTAATGCTTTTTTCAGTATCCCCTTGGACATCCCAGCCCAAGATGAATTTGCCTTTTCCTGGGATGGAAGATAGTAGGTTTTTCTTACGTTCCCACATGGGTATTTACCACAGTCTAGTGACTAAAGATCTGGAAAGATGGGGAGGGCCTCCCTGGGTTGGTAATAGTTCATTACATGAGTTATGATTACATGATCTGATGTTAACCTGCAGCAATTCTCTGAAGCTGTTACCCAACGCCCGGCCTCAGTTTCCTTCAGCCAATAAAAGGAAACAGAGTTTCAGGAAAAGGAAAGTGGTTTAATTAGTCGACAAGTGAGGAGGGCAGCAGACTCAAGTCTGAAAGACCAATGTCCTGCTCTGTGGCAGGGTGCAGGGCTATTTATACAGGGGAAACAAAACCGGGGAGATAGGCAAGACCAGTCATTTGTAACTGTATCAAAGCTACTGCTAGTGTGCAGGAGTTAACAGAATGGACAGTCCAGTACCAGCAAGATTCAGGAACCAAGACAATCAGTCAATTTCTTGGAAATTGTCTGGTCAAGTAAGACTAAGGTCATGCCAGCCTCCATGATAGATAAAAGCCAGCTTTTCCAGTGCCCGCTACTGTCTCGTTGGCTTATTACTCCACTTCCCTATGTCACCTCTCCCAGGTCTTGCATTCCTTTCACAACTGGTAAAACAGGAGTTGGGTGGGGGCATGTTTATTGTAGCTTTATTTACAGTAGGAAAGACATGGAATCAACCCAAATGCCCAAAAGTAGATGACTGGATTTAAAAGATGCAGTACATATATACAATGGAATATTACTCAGCCATCAAAAAGATAAGCACATGCCTTTTGCAGCAACATGGATGGAACTAGAAGGAATCATGCTTAGTGAAATAAGCCAGAAAGGAAAGGAAAAATTCTGGATGGTTTCACTCATAGCAGGAATATAAAGGACCAGGGGAGAAAATAATAATAATAATCGACAGCTATATACCAGAAACATTTTACAGGGATGGAGTTGGAAACAGGATCACAAATGGGGGCAGGGAGAGTGTATTGGACTATGGTGATGGCACACAGGTGATTTGGTGATGGGAAGGCCACGGGAATTACAACTGATGGGAAAAGGCACAAAATGATGTAAAAATAAACTATTGTATCATTTAAAAAAAAAAAGGTGTTGGGATTAGCCAGCCACAAGAAGCCTTCCCCCAGGCTTAACAGTTATCACAGCAGGTCCAAGTCTTGGGCACATTTTGGGCAGGGAAGGAATGTTAATTGGATGCAGGCAGTCACTCTGATAGGTTTGGATGGGCTGTGACAGCAAGGAAGGTGCATTCTTCTAGGCTTTCTTTTACCTTCCAGAAGGACAGTGAACTTAGATACAGCCCTATTGAGAGACAATTATCAGCGGCACACCTTGTCAATCAACAAATAGAAAATTTGACTGGCACTTGACTGACAAAGGTGAAGAAGATAGATTAGGGCCCTCCTGGTGGTGCAAGAGATTAAGTCACAGCAACTTTAAGCCATAAGCAGCCACTGTGGCACAAGTTCGGTCCCCGGTGACCCACATGGTCAGCAGACCTCTCCTGTCTCACTCACTGCTCCCCTCAGCAGTGTATTGCAATGGATCTGCCTGTTCTGCTCCCCCTTCTGGTGAAACTTCTCCCCGTCTCTGTACCTCTGTACCCCTGTTTGTGTATGCATAATTTTTTTAAATAAATCTTTTTTTAAGAGGGTAGATCAGAAACATGTTTGTGAAACCCATTCTGTGCTCAGAATGGCCCCTAGCAGAAATGGCGGGCAAATTGCCACACAGAAGCACTGAGAACACCAGCTGTCTTTAAGAAGAAAGGCACCACTATTGGATCCGGACCCTGAGGCTCACCTTCAACCCCTAAAGTGATCACTAACACTCAAACTGTATTCTTGGGGATGGGCCCCCTGAGTGAGACCCAGTATCAAGTAGAAGTGGCAGAGGACAATGTGGAGAGCCACTATGTGTGCTCAGATTCAGACATCGCCTGGAAGGAGGCAGGACTGTGGCTGGGGCTTAGACAGATGGGTAGTGCCAGCACCCTGACCACCTGTACACGCACCCAGGGCGTACAGAACTGGGGTACAGGCCAGAGGTGTGGCGGGTGAGAGGATTCACCAGAGACAGAGTGGGGAGCAGAACAAGCAGACCGACTGCTGAGGGGAGCAGTGGGCGGGTCAGGAGAGGTCTGCCACGCCATGTGAGTCAGCTCCCTGGCTGGGGATTGAACTCATGCTGGAATGGCTTCGGAGAGCTTCATAATGTGATGCTTTAACCTATTGCGCCACCAGGGAGAGCACCCCCTTCCTTTTTAATCTGGGCAGAGACTGGCTCCCCAGGCTGTAAATATGGTAGAATAGACACTATATGACTTCAAAGTCTGGGTAGTATAATAGCTCAGTTTCAGTATCTGTCTGACTCACTTTAGGGGGAGTCATGTTGCCAGGAAAGCAGAGCACCCCCATGCAGAGATGACCTGAGAGGCCCTCCTGGAGAGAGGCTCACACCCCCATCCCTGCTGGGCCTGTGTGTGCCAGCCTGCAGGGCCTTGGCCTCCAGGCTTCAAGCCTCTCCTGCAAACACAAGGGAAGATGAGGGGGCTGTCACACTGATCACTGACCAACTGCAGATTTGTGGACAACGTAATGCTGTGTTTTTAACCACTGTTCTTAAGAAAGTAGGCCAAACCCTCTTTAGCTTCCTCCATCCAGGACAGCCAGCCTGTCCATGCCTCTACCCATGGCGCCCTCCATCCTTAGTGATCCCCAATGTTTTTCTTTCCTCCACCAGAAGCAAGGAAATCACCTCTCTTCTACACCCTGGGCTTCCCACAGGAAGAGGTCCCAGCAAGCCAGCCTCCTAACAGCCTAAGAGAGCCAAGGAAATGCATGTGTTCTTGGCTCGATCAGGAGACTCAGGTTTCTGGGACCCAGGGCCCTGTGTATTGACTGAAGCTACATCTCCAATCTCCGCAACTCAAAGCCCGTGGTTACTACACTTGGTGGATGTAGTCAGTCAGCTCTGAGTTAAGAGTGACCAGAGCTTATGTAGTCATTGCTAAGTTCTTATTCCCCTCAGGTCCTTAGGCTGGATGAGACAGCAGTGTGCAGCATTCAGAGAGCCTTAGGTAACAGAGAGCACAACACGAGAGGACACAGTGGTGAGAAGGTAGGAGGAAGGTTCAAGAGCAGCTGAGCCTGGGCCGGCTTCCTGGGGAGATGCAGCCCCTCCCGCTTCTGGTGATCTGTCTTCTGTTCCCCGAGCTGGACGCAGGTAAGTGACGTTCCCACCCGCAGAAGCCCAACCCACTGGTGCAGATGCTGTATTCAGACACACCGTGGCTTCAAGAGACCCATCTCTCTTGAAGACCAGCAAATCAGACACTTAATAAAATCTCAGAAGGAATGGCAGGCAGAAGGCTGTCCTCCATAACAGCCAATGGGCAAATTTCCTTCCCAGGACCTAGCCTTGTTATCTGGAAAGCTGGTTCTTTCTGGAAAGCACATCTAGAAGGTCTGGAGCTGGGATAGAGAAATACAGTAATTCCCCAAGAAAAGGTTTCCATAATTAAAGTAAGGCCTACTAACTTTTTAATTCAGCATCTTAAATCTAGCCTCAGTCTCCACCCCATTCTCTAAGCTTTTGTCATTCCCAATGTAAGGTCCAGGTGGTCCCAGAATTGGCATGTCTCCTTATATACTCTGTTGACTGAGTTAGTCTCAATAGTAATTTGCAGTCACAATGAGAACAGTGGCTTTGGAGTTGGGATGGAGGGTATCCTTGCTCCTCAGAATCCACCAGTACTGCCCCAGCTAACCCTCACCGCAAGGTAACTAGGTATCTTTCCTTCATGCTGCCGTGAGCTTCACTGGGTGTGACTGAGGGTCAGGCTCTACCAGTAAAGATCAAACTCGACTTGACATCTTGTCTCATGTTTTACATATCACAACCCTCCCTTGGTTCCATGCGCAGGGCAAATGAGAGAATTTTTCTTTCAGTGCAAATCATCGATGGCAATGAGTCCAAGCCTCATTCTCGTCCCTACATGGCATTTCTTCGAATGCAATATCCTAATAAAAAGTGTGGGGGGTTTCTGATCCGTGAAGACTTTGTGCTGACCGCAGTTCACTGCTGGGAGAAGTAAGGAGCCACCTCTGGGCCCCACCCCCACGTGGACACCCTCCTGTAGGGGTTGTGGACCTTGGACCCCCTCCCCCCGCCCCCCGTAAACAGCAGCTTCTTCTGAGGACAGGTGTGATTTGAGGAGAGAAACACAGGTCAATGCAAATGGCCGACGGAAGAGAGAAGGAACTGACCAAAGGAAGCGTGCATAGATACGAAGTTTGTGCCCCAGAACCCACTGCTCACATTTGAGAAATTCACAGTTTTGCTTAGACAATAAAACTGTGTGTGTGACTGAGCCCCATGAATCTGCCCTGAGAGATGAGAATGCCAGGAAGCAGAGCGCACAGGGCCCATTCCCCTGTAGGCCCACCCAACTCTGCCTTGCCTGCCCCTCTCGCCCCTCCCCTGCCTGACTCCAGACCTGTATCTCCTGCAACTCCTCCCTCTGCCTTCTACGCAGCTATATCACCATCACCCTGGGGGCCCACGACATCACCAAGACGGAGCCCACCCAGCAGGTCATCCCTGCGATAAAAGCCATCCCCCACCCAGACTACAACCCTGGGACCAGCGCCAACGACATCATGTTGCTGCAGGTAGCGAACCTTTCTGCTGGCCCTGGGCTGTCTGCACCCCCCAGGACTCATTGCCAGCGCCTTCCCAGTTATGACCCTTCAGTGTCCGAGGACCTTGTCCTGTGATTGTCCTGCAGTCTTGGGAGCCAGTAGTAGAATTCTTTCCTTTCGTTCCTGCCAGCTGATGTGGAAGGCCACACTCAACACCTATGTTAGAACCATCATGCTGCCCAAGAGGAGCAAATCGGTGAAGCCAGGAAGGGTGTGCACCGTGGCAGGCTGGGGTGTCTTCAATGTCACTGTCAGGAAAATGTCACATAAACTGCATGAAGTACAACTTAGGATCCAAAAGAACAGTGTTTGCTTCCATGAATACAGATACTACTATTACAACAAAACCATCCAGTTATGTGCTGGGGACCCAGGCACAAGGAAGGCTTCATTTAAGGTAAGATCACAGGCATCCACCATGCCCATCTGTGTACACCAGCTTCTAGGATCCCAGGGCAGTGGGACAGCCATGTCCTGATTGACTCGGCCTCCACCAGCCATCTCCGGTGCTGCTGTCCTTGGGGATAGGAGACTGGCTCAGCTACCCCTGGGCAGAGGCTCCCTGGGACCTGCCCTACCGGAGACCCCAAAGCCAGGACATGGGAGGGTCAAAGCCAACAGATAGCCCAGCTCAGTTTTTCCTCCATCTGCCCACAGGGTGACTCCGGGGGCCCCTTGGTGTGTGACGAGGTGGCTGAGGGGATCGTCTCCTCTGGGCACACAGATGGGAAACCTCCACGTGTCTTCACCAGGATCTCCAGCTTTGTGCCCTGGATAGAAGAAACAATGTCACAGTTCAAACTCCAGGGACCAGGCGGAAGCGCCCGGGACTGATCCATCTGTCTTCTCTGGGAGAGGCTGGAGCAGGCTGGGGGGCTGGGGGCTGCCACGGACTTTATAACTTTCATTTCTCTGTTTCCAAATGCCCTATAGCTTATAGTTTAATAAGTAAATTTTCCTTCTGTTTTTCCACAACCTCTAAATCCGTCCAAAAGAATGTATTCGGAAAGTAGCGTCATTTGAAAGCCTCCACCTCAAAGAAGATCCAAAAGTAAGGGATGCTGAAGTGTGTTTGCACTGACAGAATTTACGCTATGGGAAAGTAAATTCTGGGCATAACAGTAATACATATTCCTCATAGTTGTGAAGGCTCAATATACACAATATGTAAATAAAAACACAAAATTGCTGAGATTACCCAGAGTGATCATCATTCCTGCTCCACGAGCCGCCTCCCACTCTTGTCCTGCGTCTTCAAAAGATGCTGTTCCCTCAGCAGAAGTGGCCTGGCCAGGCTGGCAGCGCCCCACTTCCCCTCCCCGCCGCTCCGTCTTCGAGCCGGTGAGAGTGGCGGCCCTGTCTGGTGGCCCGAGGTCACTGGAGGCGGGGACCTCAGACTCACGTCTCTGGACAGGGTGGACCCAGCTCCCGTGACAGGAGCGCGGCGGGGTCACCTCCCCTCCACTGGCAGCAGTGGCGCCTTCTGCACCCACAAGCACTGTGCCTGGGGGACAGGCTCCCGGCCCAAAGGGCGCTAAGTGACCTAAGCACAAGCCAGCCCGCACCCTGAGGGACCCGGGTGAATCGCTCTGTGCAGCCAGGACCTGAGTTCAACGCTGAGGCTGAGAGAGCCCCTTCCCGCAGAACACCTGGGCTTGGAGAGGGAACGTGAATCTCTAAAAGTAGGAGTCTGGGGTGGTGATGAGACAGGAAATGGGTGCCCGTGGGGTACGGGGTATGTCTGGCTCCACCGCTCACAAGGCAAACCCAGCTCCCCACAGCCTCCAGGACCCCGGCCTAGCCTGGCCCTGGGCACAGGTGCTCAGGCCACTGAAGCCTGGGCAGCTGCTCCCGGCGGCGGGCAGAGCCGGACCTCAGACCCTGGCCCTGCTCCGTGAGGAGCCACTGGTGGTTTCGAAGGCGTGGACACGCCCGCAACCCCACCCCCAATGACCGCAGTGCTCGATGCCACCCAGACCCTCACCATCCTGTCTCCCCTGAGCTCTCACCTGTGACTCAGCAGGCCCTGCACACACAGCGACACTGTCAGCTCTCTCACACCCAACCGAGCGCCCGTGTCATGACACCTAGCAAAACTGAGGTGTGGCTGGGGGAGGCCTGCGAGGTCCCTGGGCCCTCCCCACTTCCTCGGGGGCTTTGGCGTCTGCTGGGAAGAAAGCCCGGCAGCTCTGACCTGGGTCTGCCTCAGAGACATGCAGCCGCTCCTGCTCTTGCTGGCCATTCTTCTGACCCCCAGGGCGGGGACAGGTGAGTGACCACCCCACCCTGGGGCTTGATTCCCCCCACAGGGCCCCGGTCCTCCTGACCGTGCCCACCACGTTCAGGGACTGAGCTCGATTTGGGCCCTGGAACTTTCTGAGCGTCCCCTGGACCCAGGCTAGGAGTCCCAAGCTGCCTCCTGGGGACGGCAGGAAGGAGGCTGTTCCCTCAGAGAGTTTGTGGGTGCGAGTGGTCTCCCTACCTGCAGCATGGGCTGCCATAGAGAGGCCATGGGCCACGGAGCAGCCTCAGAGAGAAAGCATTGAGTCCCAAGCTTCAGGGCAGGGCAGGGCAGGGCAGGGCTGCCAGTGGGGCTGAGGCTGTGGTGGGGCAGTGGCTAGATTCAGCTCAGGGCCTGTTAGCTTTCTCAGGCCTCAGCCCCTCCCTCCTGCCGGGGAGAGGAGCCAGGCTGGCCAGGGCTCAGCAGTGGCCAAATGGCTGCCCGAGAGCACCCTGTGGCCAGCTGCCCGGTCTGTGGTCCGTGCGCCTCCCTGGCCCACCGCCCCCAGGCCCTCAGTGCTCCAGCAACGGGGCTGTGTCCTCCCCGCTGTGGTCTCAGGTCTACCAACACAGCCCACCCGGGTTCGCTAACACTAACCAGGAGCCTTCATGCAGCCAGGAATGTTCCTAAGAAGCTACAAGGTGTGAGGCCCAGTGTGCGGAAATGTAACACCCGAGGGTCCTTGGTGTCTCTTGAGGAAAGAGTTTCACAGAGCTCCAGCGTGAGGGCTGCATTGGTGTTTATCAGCAGGGGCAGGACAGAGCGGGGTGAGAGGCAGCGGGCAGTCCCAGAAGGGGGGGAGCTGCATGAGGCCACGAAGTTTAGGGAGCTTGAGGGTTTTCCTCCAGGTGGATCCCCTGCTCCCATCCCTCGAGCTTCCCACAGGGTCCCCTGTCCTGTCCCATCAGCAGTGCCACATGCACATTCTAGGATTAAGTGGAACTATACCTCCTCCTTCTTTTTGATCCCTAGCTAAAGGGTTTCCCAGGCCTCCCAGATCTACCAGCTCTTAGCTGGTCCTTGAAATGAAATGGCAGGCCCCTTGCACTGGGACTGCAGACATGCCCTGTGCTCCCCCAGTAAGCGTGTGAGCTCTTCTCTGTCCCTAACATGTGGCCATGAGGGTTTTGGAGAATCCAACTACATGAGCTCCTCAGTGGATTATTAGAAAATGCACTCATCGGGGTGATAGCAGGTCAGAGGGCTGGGGAGACTCAGTGAGAAAGAAGGCCGCAGGAGGCCCCCATGCCTAGGCTTGGGCTGCTGCCTTGAAGACATGTGTCTGTGCCAGAGCCAGAAATTGAGCACTTCCCATTCCCCCCAGGACCCCCAATATTCGCAGAGAGGGATTCTGAGACTTGAAGTTCAGAAAAGGTTATGGTGCCCCTAGAACTTAGAGTATCGACCCAGTCCGCAGACCCTGGATGACCTATCCCAATCGCCACCTTATGAAGCCTTTCTCCTGACCACAGCCCCGCACCCCCTTCCCCCACCCCCGCGCCCCAGTCATCCATCTTCCTTCTTTTCTTTCAGAAGAGATCATCGGGGGCCACGAGGCCAAGGCCAACTCCCGCCCCTACATGGCATTTGTTGAGTCTGTGACTGAGGGACGCAAGATGAGGTGCGGAGGGGTCCTCGTGCAGAAAGACTTTGTTCTAACGGCTGCTCACTGCCTGAAAAGGTGAGGGGTCGCCGCCACCCGAGGTTCCTACAGGGTCCCCTGTCCTCTTCTGTAGGCTCCAGCCCAGGGGAGCTGCCCACA